GTCTATTTACTTGTGAACACTCAGTATATATATATATTGGATACACCTATTTAACCATAATATTTGCGTATACGGATAACATACTAAAATCAAAGGAAAAATCTGCACTTCAGGCTGTAAATACTCTTATAGATAAAACGTTACTGTACAAATTATGGGATATTTCAAAAAGGCATACGAATTTACAAATATATGGGTGAATATCAGCATGAAAATATAATTGAAATAATTACATTCTCTCATCTAAGATTATAAAGATTATATTTTGAAATATAAAATGAACATAGAATCATTTTTCAGAATGTCTTTTGGACAAAACAGAAAAATTGGTATTTAAAAATATTTTTCAACTGCTTTCTTGTCCACAGACGGGTTCACATCACTCAAGCGACTTTGGACTTTCTTAGAGACGAGTATGAAGTGATTCCGGGTCATGGAGGCAATCGAAATTCTTATTTAAGGGAACAAAACATCAAAACTTACTTTATTGTTGCTCCCCCTTCACGAAAAAAGGTACGCTCTTGTGACTGAAATAACCAAACTTTGTCATCTGTCAAAGAATTGAAAAAGAAGTAGTGTTCTACGTAAACAGCAGCATCGAGTTTGTTGTTGATGAAACTTGTTTGAAACACAAATCATTATTATTTTTATTTTCTTTATATACTTCCATCTATAGGGGTTTTGTAAGAAATAATCGTAATTTACTTATCCTAGAAGTATAGAAAAGGTTTTGTGATGAAGACCAAGGATGCCATACCTTGCAGTCCAGGACGTAGAAAAATGAAACACATACATGCTGTAACAACAGAAAGTCAAAAAACAAACAAATTCAGATTAAATTAGGCGTTCTTTCTAGCAACGTTTCTTAGTCAGCTAAAGAGAGTATTTTAAAACTGACAAGATAAATGAAACCAGGAACTTGTTAAATAAAAAAAAAAAGTGGTACTACTTCTAAGATACGTATATTGTCCAGAAACAATCTTCTTTGTAACGGCCTTAATTCCAGTTTGTTTGGGATCGACCGGTAATTTTGAAAGCCAAGAATTTTTACACCCGGGTGGCCGGCCCAAACGGCAACCATATAGGACGATTGTTCAGAAATAATAGTGGATGATAAAAAATGAATTAATAAAAATTATAAAAAGACAACAAAATCGTGCTAGACATAATTTGCTTAGTTTCTCCCTGTACAGTGTATTCTGGGCCTAGCTGTACTTTGCAAACTCTCTGTGGTCTAAAACAACAAATGACAGCATCTATTAAGGAGCTAAGTACTTATAGTAATTGAGGTTTAGTGCCTCTCCCTAAGGCAAGTTTTTCAGATAAAAATCTGAGTATCAATGTAGAAACTAATAAAAAATAAAACGTTAACTAAATATACGATAGACTTTACAATACGAGCTTCTTCGTTGAGGCAAAAAAAACGTCTACTGGACGAGGTGTGACAGTATTTGGGAGATAACAACGATTAACAATAATGTTTTAGATGTTATGAAATTTAATGATATAAAACCATGAATCGATAAAGTAACATATATTGCTGAGGCTTAATTCACAGATATCCGATACACACAGAGTGAAGCTTGTATTAAGGAGATTTACAAAGCTGTATCCACTGTTTACTAACTTACATGTAAACATAGCGATGTGTATGTTAAGGACACCTACATTATTGCTAACCTACACACGTGCGCTATGAAATGTGTGTAACTTTACTCTTTATTTAATTTCAGTTAAGACTGACTTGTTTTCCATAAACATGGGAGTAACATTACTATGTTATCACTGGAGATAATAAGATTTTACTGTATTTCGAATGATTCTACGTTATTCTCGTTATATCAGTTCTCACGCGTAATGAGAAAGTAATCGACAGCATAAGTTTAGACTGGTTAATTAATCTCTGCTGTAGGTAGTGTAATTCTATTTATGTTTATAACATAAAAATAATGTATGTTAAATAGTTAAAGATATTTCACAACTTGTACACTCTATAATCATTCTGGTTTATCGTTTACTTAGAGCGTGCTAAATCAACTTAGAACCAATATTGAAAACACATCTATAGAACATCGCCTAGATCTAGTTCTATAGTCTCTAATAACAAAGATCTGTGAACTTTTTTTTTTTCTGAGAAAGCATACTTTATAATGTTTCTTAAAAAGTTTCATATTGCAAATAACAGTGTTGAAAATATATAAAATTTCGAAACCGATATGATTTTCGGATCTCAAGCTTTTAGGTATTTTTTTGTTAATGTATTTTTAAAAGATGTATCGCTGGGTTCCTCTTGCTTTGTTCTTCTCTGTAGCTGTTCTTGCTCAACTCTTTACAAGTGCGGAAACTAACGGGATCAAGCAGAAAGAAGTTGACTTTCAAGAACGTATCCAACGTAGTCCTGCAATTGATACATTCTATCAAGTTCAGTGTCGATGTTCCTTTTTCAAACATTGCCACAGTGCAACAACAAACGGAGAAGCCCGCAGTAAAAAAGGTTGTTTGGTTATTACTTAACTTAAACAATTGGGGTTCCAGTTTTAGATTTAGAAAATCAAATAAATACTACTAGAGGGCGTATTAATATTTTACTTATTGTTTATTGTTCAAGGCGTTCATCGAAAAAAGATAGTGCGAGTGATTCCCGGATAGCAAAATTATTGTTTTAGTGTGTCAAAATTATTCTATTGTAAACATTAAATGCTAGAGAAGAAAATCTTAGAAAAATATCAGTTTTTTATTTTGTCTTCGCCGTATTAAATGAATAATTATTTTGCATATCAAATATTAAATGCTTAAAATTTTTTTATGTCTAAAGAATTATATGTTGAAACATTAGATTATTTTTAAAAAGCATAATCTAAATAATCATTTAATTATATTAATACCAACCACAGTTGCCTTGAGTTTTGATTCTGTATCATAATTTAACATTAGAGTTAAATATATTGGCCAAAAACTTTTATAGTGATTTAACTCTATAGACTAATAATGGCTGGAGACGGCTTGAATGGGTAATGAAGAAAAACTTTAAGATAAGTTTAGCATAACAGCAAATGTACAACGTTTCGACAAGGTTTTGTCATCATCAGGTTTTTCTTCATTACCCATTCAAGCCGTCTCCAGCCATTATTAGTCTTAAAGTGGGTTCCTCGTCATCGAATTTAACTCTATAGACATTTTTCAATTTCAGCTAAAAGTGGCAGACAAGTTCAGAAAGTCTTTTAAAAAAAGGTGGGTAACGAGATTCTATCTATTTCTATATGTTTTATCTGTTCTTCTTAGTATTTTCTGCGTCAAATATCCAACCCTTAAAAAATTTGTTCATCAACGCAAAAAAGGCTGCTTTAAAATCAAGTGTTCTAAGCAATTTTGATATGCATAGTGTAAAACGGTTGTAAAATTCTTAACAAGATGAACTACAATAAGAATCATTACTTGTCTGATTTAGTAAGATAAAAATACTTGAACCACAAAACCATGCGTTTAGATGCACATAGCAATAGATAGATAATTATTATTATTAGAACCATGCAAAAAAGTTCACTTTTTAATTTATAAAACACATAGATACAGATTCAGACTTCTCACTTTCTCAACTCAAATAATTTAATTGGGTCCAAGTAGAAGATAACCCTATTTGGTCCATATAAATTGTTTGTTTGTTTCAACTGTTTTCCCAACCATGTATCCTTTCGCTGTCGTCAAGTTACTTTGTATGGTAAATTGCACAAAACATTTTCACTTAAGCACCCACAAGACTGAATGACATTGATAAGAAGCTTTAGGCTTAGCTACATGATATGATATATACATGTATAGAATAAAAGTTGTTTTGGAAAGCTGCGACGTACAATTCCAATATGGATTGTTGAGAATCTTAATAAGAAACTTATTTTTCCGTTATTTCAAAATATGCAGTTTGCTACCTAAATAATGTCAGGTTATTTTTAAATATTGAAACCAAGATTGCATGACAGAATATATTATTTGTATAATTTTGTTTTCATATATCCATTTGGAGTGCTTACATCCAGTTTCTACTTTTAACTAAAAATCTTAAAAACAAAAGACATGGGTATAAAATCAACGTTTTATCAATAAACGAGAAAAAGAACGACAGAGTTTTCTGAGAAAATCACCAACAGTTTAACAAAGTAGATAAAGACCCACATACTTATTTCTGAACAATAAATCCTCAAAGTGATGAGTGAGTGCACCCACATTGTGAAGGATGAAATCCTGCTCAGGGTCTGTTTGTATCTTTGCTTGCAGTATTATTCATCAAAAAATATATGTTTTCAAGTTGGTATTGTAAAGTTCGTACGTCAACATTGTAAAGACCAAATCCTTTTCAGAATCTCTGTTTGTCTTATAGCTTACGAGTCCGTTGACTGCCTGCCTGATGCAATATAATTTCCAAGCTTATGCTAAGCAGCAGCTACGTAACTGTTTAACTTCACAATGCCTAAGTGTAAAATTAAAAGGGAAACCGTTGTAAGCGATTTTAATTTTGAGTAATATTTAAAGATTATTCGAGATTCGTAATAAAACGTATTATAGCTACATATCACTAACTAGATGCTAAGACAGGCCAGACTAGCTGTTTTCTTTTGTCTTTAGGTCAGGATAGCTTATGAGAAATTTTAGACATAAATAAAACTGTTATGTTTCTCTGATCCACCATATCTTGTAGAATATTTCCTGCGATAATAACGTGTTTCTTTTTCTCTCGTTTATGACAGCTCGTGAGAGAATCTACACGAGAATAGTGTCTTTTTTTTTTTTGTCCCACGATATCTTCTAAAAAGTTCCCAACGGTATATGTCTGCGGACTTACAACGCTAAAAACCGAGTTTCGATACTCGTGGTGGGCACAGCCTAGATAGTCCATTGTGCAGCTACTTACAAACAAACAAACAAATCTAAGTTCCCAACGATAATAGTTCTTCACTTTCTCTTCGTCTCCGATATTGTGTGAAAGAACACAGACGAGAATAGTGTTGTTGTTTTTTGTGGTACACGATGTCTTCTAAGAGATCCCCAACGATAATAGTGTTTTTCACTTTTTCTTCGTCTACGGTATCTTGCGAGAGAATATAGACGAGAATTATGCTGTTGTTTTTTGTGGTACACGATGTCTTCTAAGAGATCCCCAACGATAATAATGTTTTTCACTTTCTATGATCCACGATAGTTTGTGAGAGATTCCAGTCGAGAGTAGTGTTAAATTTCAATGATATAATTTTAGTATATCATGGTGACACAATTAGCATGAAAAATGCAAAGTACAGGCTTAGAAAAAACTTAGATCTCACATTCGTTTTAATATCGAAATAAATGGCAACGGAAACTTGTATGAAAGATAAACTTCTGTGTCAAACATTACGTAAAACTAAATACACACACATACATATATGGCTCCATATAGACCAGTAGTATACATTGTCTAAGTATATACGAACGTTCTGTCAAATTTGTATAATTGATAATGGAATGTTTTCGAGAGAGAGAGTCCAAGTACTTCGAGTAATTTAATGTTATTGCTTCACATATTATTCCAAAATAACAGTTAACTAACAAACTTTATTTTGTCCAAAAAATTAAGAAGTTCTGCAGTAACAAAAGTGTTCCACTAACTTAAAAAAATATATGGTAGAAATCAATAGAAAAAAATTTTCGTTCTAAATTCAATTTTCACGTATTCATGTTCATAAATGCTAGCATACATTTGCTGAAGATAGGAAACTTTTTTAACGTGGATGGATACATTTTATTCAATAATTCTAGCTATTTTCAAAAGCCAACGAATGGAAAATATTCCTCTTGATATTTTAATTGCTTTGAATTATTAACTTTGAAATAATAATTCATGTTTCCTTTCTTGTACCATTGATGTGTATATACTTCTTAATGTCATCTTTCTATCTTACTAGAGGGGCCAAGGCAGACCTCCAAAATTTCTATTCATCGTCTAGAATTCCTCAGTATGTATGTACTGGCAGACTATGCAGCAGTTTCTGAATGAATAACCTTCCGCAGATGCTTACTGACGCGTAAAATAAATCGTTTTGCATGTAACTGACGATAAATGATAGGTTTATTCTTAAGACTTCTAAAGTCCTCGAAATTATACACCAGTTAATCTGACAGAGTTCATTCTTCCTTAAAATGAACACTTCGTCGCATACAAAACAAAAAAGAAAATAGAAACAGTTTCGAAAAGATCAAAATAAAGAAAACCTATTCTGGTTACCAATAATTTCACTTAAGTATTGCGTTTGGCTCCATCTGTAGTTTTATTTAGTTTGTTCAAATGCCAACTAGAAAAACATCAAAGGCTCGCCTATATTCAAGTATAGTTGATCCAAAATATATTCATTTGGAAAACAAATTACATTGTTGAAATCAACAATAAAGCGTTCGAATTTTACGTAATCAAAATTTAAATTTCACGAAAGACCTAGATACGAATAACTTTGCCTAAAATATCATAATTTGAGGATTAGTAGCTCAGTCATGAAGATTAGTGTCATAAAATAGAAAATGGAATTATTATAAATCGGGGGGAAATGTTTTTTTTATAAATATTCTTCCAGACTTTCTAAATAATTTTTTTATCTTCAAATTTCTAACATTGAAAGTTATGGGTATAACATTGTTTTATAGCAAATAACAGACTTGTAAAATATTTGTTATACGTTCATATTCCAGTCGCTTATTTAGTTACTTAGTATTATTTGTCTGTTTACTGATGACCAAAAAAGAAACAAAAGTACCATATCATGATTTTACGTGATGTTTTTTTCATTTATTCTATGTTCTAAAAACATGTTGCATTAAAAATGAAATGACACTGATTCCATCTCTAGATCTCATTATATGTTTAAAATCAAAAATTTATTATTATCATTCATTACAAATTGAGAAATGTGATTATGTCTCTACCTGCCCTTTTCCAGGCACTCCACGGTCTACCACCAACCAACTAACCGGGTCAACAAGTATCTGGCCCAGGCCATCGAGGCCAGAAGTGTAGACATGGAAAAAGCTACTCATGTTAATGTCGTCACTCTCTGTTTTAAGAACAGGCAAAAGGAATGGCAGGTAATATATGCTACTAGAAAGTGGTAATGGTTAATTGCAGAAGAGAATTATTTTACCGACATCTTTAAGCGTCTATATGAGCAAAACATTTGAAATTACATTTCTAGTATATGTTTATAAATACATATAACTCCAACAAATTCGACAAAAATGTCAGCTACCGTTTATACTCGTGTAACCCTTGATTTTAGACCAAAAAAATCTTAATTTTTTCATATATATCGTGCAGAAGTCGACCTACTTGTCCCTGCAACCTAAGAGAGCAACGTCTCACTACAGGCCAGTTCACACTTTATACCGAAAACTTGTAAAAACAAACGAAAACACTTAACTCTACCAACATGGACTCAATCCTAGGGACCGACCACGTGACCATTTTTACTTGTATATAGTTTTAATACTATAACTAGAATGACTTCAAATTATAACGTGAAAACTACATTTGTTTATCCTAAATAGCTTTAAACTCTTAACAGTAGACATCTGTTTATAATTACATTCCATTGTTTTATTGCCCTTTGAACCGTGTCTAACCACTATTCGCGCCATTATAAGTCATTGGCGAATGTACAGCTCAAGTTACGCTCTCGAATTACACTAAGCAAGTGCTGTTTACGAGCGTGCCTCGTGAAAAATTTCTATTATTATTTATTTTACCTAATATAACTATTTTTTCATTTTAGTTACTTTTAAAATAACAATTACAGAATACACATGAAAAACAAGAAATAAAGCACTTACCTGGCTCTTTTTTTAATGTCGATGACACTTAACCCTACTTTTTTATACTAATGGTACGACTACAATTAACAATTTTTATTTAATTAAATAATGCACCAAAGAACACAGAATAATAGCATACAAAAAGCAGGATATGTCCTATAACTATCACAATTTTTCTGATTTTCTAACTATGCAACAAGAGTCGTTTGAAATTCAGCTAAACACGTTGATATGTTTCCCGTGGGAATATATCAGTTTCATGTTTACTTTTTTTTTGTAAATAAAAAAATCAAAATTGTTTTTTTTTGTTGTTGTTTATTGTCTTTTAAATCATTTGGGGTTTTGTTTTATGTTTTGTGGACTGTTACTGAGCATGAATTTCAACCTCTCTAATATATTACTTGTGTAAAAGTCCACACCTAAATTATAGTCTAAAAAATTGGTCACAAAATTTCGTCTATTACACGAGTATATACGGTAGTTTATTGCAAACCCGTTTAAGAATGGTTTAAATATTTCTTTTCGAGCGCTCACTGTCTGCACAAAGTAAGATAGATTTTTTCCCTTTATTATTATGTAATGAAAAGTTATATGAGTTTAGATAAGCGAGATCGAACAAAGCTTTGAATACTATTTTTATAGAAACAAAAAGAACGGTAAGCGAACAGCTGTATACCTACTTGTATGCCGATATCATCCCTCCAAAAATGACAAACTAAACTATATTGTCTTATGTTATCTTTACTGCTCCAATAATATCTTTGTTTATCTTTTACGTGTGTACAGTGTTTTGTATGTTTGTAAAATTTCGAGTATTCAACATTTTAACTTGGTAAGTTTTACTTAAAATGCAGAGATTATCCTCATGTTCTTCTACTTGTTTTCTTAGTGATGCTACTTCTATTCTTTTGAAAAAAAAAACACTATTTAAGTTGTTAATAACATATTCGTAAAAAAATGGTTCATAAAATGATAACAGGTGATATTTTTGTCTTGTATCTCATGTATGTTTGACCGTAGATTTCACATAAAATGGGTAGAGATTACATGGTTCGAGTCCAGTTACCGTAAAAAAAAAATCGCGCTCTGCACTTTGGGGTTGCGGATGCATTATAAGTGAGACGATCAGACAGCAATAACCCAAGAGTTGACTATAGGTTATTTTGACTAGCTTCCTTGTCTTTAATCTATTACTTCAAAATTAGAGACATTTGGGGCAGATAGCCCTCGTGTAGCTTTGCGTAAAATTTTATAAAGATACAAGTCATAAAAACAACTTTGTGAATGAACATAGAAATTCTATAATAATTTGTTTCTAGTGTTATTGCGATGATATATGACTAAGGGTTTTCTATCCATGACGAAAAAAGGTCGGTGCTTTTGGTAGTTTATCAATCGTCACAGGAATATAAAGTCCTTGTAAATTACAGTATTAGAATCTGTCGATTAGCAAATCCAGTTCTTCGGACATAAAAAACAGTTGTTAACCTACATTTTAAAATTCAAAAAATGACTCGATCTACAAAGTATGATGAGATATTATTCTAAGAGAGGTATGCTAACGAGACATCCAATAGGACCTGTAGTGTTAGCGAAGCACCTGGTATTCTGCTGTGTTAGGGAAGCACTTGGTAGTCTGTTGTGTGAGGGAAGCACCTGGTATTCTGTTGTGTTAGGGAAGCATCTGGTAATTCTGCTGTGTTAGTGGATCACCCAGTGAGTTTTAGTTCTAGCAGATGTTATAATCAATATTTATTTGTTTTAATAAATCTTTACTCATTGAAGTTTCACTGACATTTCACGACCGGTACAAAATTTAGTTTCATTAACGTTTTATTCTTAACGAAATATCCGCTAGGATAAAAAACAACAACAACACATTATTGATAGATTTCGTCAACATTTCTTCGATAAAGCTTGCGGAAAACGTTATGGTTTAAAAGCAAAATGTACAATGTTATAATGTGGCATTCTTAACTAAACTTTATAAAAGAGAGAGATGAGTAAGGACAATGTGTTTAACCTTCTTACAATAGATTGACTCCAGTCCAAAAGTGCAGGTCAGTGGAAAAGGTAAAAGACAGGAGTGATAACTATTGTCGTTCGTAAAAATCGATATTATAAGATGATTAATTTAATTTCAGTAAAAATTCATTTTTTAAGATCATCGGCTTTTTTGTTCCAGTTTCACGAAGGAAAAGATCACGGTTTTGGAAATAGTATGATCTGTTCGTTAGCGGTATTATTGTGTGTAGGATGTATCCAAGCTATTGTGCTACCAAGGTAAGTATTATTATGTACAGAATGTATCCAAGCTATTGTTTAACCGAAATGAATAGAACATTTACTGTTTTAGATAGAGTATAATGTGTTTGTAAGCAGTATTTCTATGTGTAGGATATATTCAAGCTATTTTGTTATCAAGGTAAGTAGAAAATTTACTGTTTTAAACACAGTATAATTGTGTCTGTGAGCAGTATTTCTATGTGTAGGATATATTCAAGCTATTTTGTTATCAAGGTAAGTAGAAAATTTACTGTTTTAAACACAGTATAATTGTGTCTGTGAGCAGTATTTCTATGTGTAGGATATATTCAAGCTATTTTGTTATCAAGGTTAGTAGAAAAATTTACTGTTTTAAACACAGTATAATTGTGTCTGTGAGCAGTATTTCTGTGTGTTGTATGTATCCAAGCTATTTTGTTATCAAGGTAAATAGAAAATTTACTGTTTTTGACAGTATAATGCGTCTTTGAGTAGTATTTGTGTGTGTTGGACGTATACAAGGTATTGTGTTATCAAGGTAAATAGAAAATTTACTGTTTTTGACAGTATAATGCGTCTTTGAGTAGTATTTGTGTGTGTTGGACGTATACAAGGTATTGTGTTATCAAGGTAAATAGAAAATTTACTGTTTTTGACAGTATAATGCGTCTTTGAGTAGTATTTGTGTGTTGGACGTATACAAGGTATTGTGTTATCAAGGTAAATAGAAAATTTACTGTTTTTGACAGTATAATGCGTCTTTGAGTAGTATTTGTGTGTGTTGGACGTATACAAGGTATTGTGTTATCAAGGTAAATAGAAAATTTACTGTTTTTGACAGTATAATGCGTCTTTGAGTAGTATTTGTGTGTGTTGTATGTATACAAGGTATTGTGTTTTATCAAGGTAAGTTGAGAATTTACTGTTTTAGACACAGTATAATGCGTCTGTGAGCAATATTTCTGTGTGTTGTATATATATATACAAAGAATTGTGTAATCAAGGTAAATAGAAGGTTACTGTTTTGGACACAGTATAATGCGTCTGTGAGCAATATTTCTGTGTGTTGTATATATACAAAGTAATTGTGTAATCAAGGTAAAGAGAAGGTTACTGTTTTGGGCACAGTATAATGCGTCTGTGAGCAATATTTCTGTGTGTTGTATGTATACAAGGTATTGTGTTTTATCAAGGTAAGTAGAAAATTTACTGTTTTAGACACAGTATAATGCGTCTGTGAGCAATATTTCTGTGTGTTGTATATATACAAAGAATTGTGTAATCAAGGTAAATAGAAGGTTACTGTTTTGGACACAGTATAATGCGTCTGTGAGCACTATTTCTGTGTGTTGTATGTTTACAAAGTATTGTGTTATCAAGGTAAGTTGAGAATCACAACCCTTGAACTAAAGTAATGCGTTCTCTGCTGAAGAGTATATGTCCATTAATCTATATAAAATCTGGTTTGTTCAAACAACGAAGTTCTTCTCTAAAATACTGACAGAAATTTATTTTAAGATTAAAACTTTGATGTTTAATACGAGTGCAAAGTTTCCACAGAACATTTTATCTAAGTCAGGCAATATTTCCAATAATAAGAACAACAAGCAAAAGTACCCGTCCCCAGTGACGGGAAAACTTCAAGTTAATCTATCAGTTTCAATCATTTCATGGACTTTAAAAAGATTAATTGTATTGCACTCTTGGTTTCACTAAGAGCCAAAACTCTGAGCTACTTATAACACTCACCGCGAAAAATAATTGTTGAATATTTCAGTCATGCTAAGAGCCGCTTAGCAATAGTCTCCCGGTGGGACAGCGATAAGTATTCGGATTTACAAAGCTAAAATTAGGGGTTCGATTCCCCTTGGTAGACATAGCAGATAGCCCGATGTGGCTTTGCTATAAGAAAACACACACACGCTTAACGATAACATACAGTAAATCTACATTTCATTCTTTGAGTTACGTCACATTTTGAAATGTGAATGATAATGTAATTAGTTCCTAACTATTTAATGTAGAATATCCTGCTTGCGAAATAAAATTAACATTGGCATTAACATTATTCATGCCTGTTCTTCCGTCATTTCAAAGTGTATGTTGAGCTCTGCCTGCGTAGACAGCTATTCAAACGCAACGCGGGTAGCGGCCGTCGTAAAAGGAAGACAGAATAACACTCAGACAGACACCACGGTTCACAAAATATACAAGATATACATTTTTTATGACAAAGAAATCTTATTTATTTCAACTTCGTAAATGTAAAGTTTGCTAATATAAAACATTTTGAAGTTTGTTATACTTGAGAAATATTTTATTTCGAAGATCCAAACGTACACAGGATTCATAAATCTGTTGATACTTTAGGTTTAAATTGTATTGAGAAACATTTTAAATATTTTGACATATTAATAGTACAGAATAGGGTTAAATAATAGATGTTATGTGACAAGTTATAAGACATTTCTTTGAAGTTTTCAGTAAGAATTATATCTCATCTTGATTTGTGGTTTTAATTCGTTTTTGTGTTTCAGTTGTTGCTGTTTTTTGGACTGTAAGTTACGAGAAAATATTGGACAATAAATCCACTCCTGTACGTAAAAAGGAGACAAGGCTTAGCTGTTAATTTGTCAAACACTCGTGCTCAAGTAGTGGATGCATTGGCTTTTCGATAGAATAACACAGTTGCACAAGAACAAAAATCTTCTAGAACATTAACGAAGAATAAAGCTTAATATAAAATGTTTTAAATATATATATATATATATATAGCATAATGTTTGGGAGTTCCTTTCGTAATACACAAAGTTGTTTATAAAAATGCATTATTATAATTGAAACAAAACGAAACTACTCTGAAGAGCACGAGATTTACATCGATACAAAAAGGAAACCCGAATATTGATAGACTTTAACGACACTTTAACGTGGGTGTGGCTGTCTATTAGAGTTTTCAGTTTTTCTTCTTATGTGTTAGTATTCTTGAATTTGAAGTGTAGTTGCTCCAATGTTTCACACGTGCTCCAAATCGCATGGAATGACTAGTGAAATTTAAAAACGCGTTTTGTTCTTACATTTGAAAAAGTTGCTTATTTTGACATCTGTACAAAACTATGAGATAAGAAGTACGTTTAATGTCTGTTGCACATCGAATTTGGACTTAAATGCATGATCAGTTAGATGAAATTTGGTTAGATGAAAATAAAGTATCATTTAATTGTTCAGCAATTTGCAAGTGTACCAAATCTCAAGTAATGAATCAAATTATACTCCTGATGATGACAAAACCTTGTCGAAACGTTGTACATTTGCTGTTATGTTAAACTTATATTAAAGTTTTTCTTCATTACCCATTCAAGCCGTCTCCAGCCATTATTAGTCTCAAAGTGGGTTCCTCGTCATCGAAATTATACCCCGTTCTTTCTTTTTTTTATCAAATCAAAATCATATTGGTAGAGCTGAGTAGAGTAGAGTATATGAATAATATAAATGAAACATCTATGTACTAAATACATAACTTATGATAATTGCTAGATAAATGTATATGGTCAGTTGCTTGAAAGTGTATACTGGTTAAGTTATAAAATATGAATATCAACAAAAACCCCTACAAAATTAACTTTTTTGCCAAAGTGCTAAAATTTCATTTTTTATGAGATATGTTTGGAAGAAGTTATTTTAAGTGTTCGTTGACTTTGTATATTTTTATGTGAACAAAATAATGTTAGCGATTACAAACTAAAGACAAAGTTTTATCTACATTTTCCAGAACTGTCGTGCTGGTTGTGTTATTCTTAGCCGCATTCTTTTGGTTGGCCGTATTATTGGGGTTGGTGTTGGCTATCAGAATGAAAGTAAGTGTGAAATTGTTGGTAACATTTATCATAAAACACTGGCAATAGATAGTAAAAAAAATTTAAATTATAACCCAGACTGTGAACTCTCAAGTTATTGCTTTCAAGGCTTTCGCCCTTCATTTTAAGTAATGAATTCAAAACGCTACCGGAGTGTTGTTGCATATCAAGTTGTATAAAAGTGTAGAAGGCCAAAACAAGTAATTAAAGTAAAATACTGAACTTAATCATATATAGTACTAATTTAAACTAGATCTCATCCATTTAAACAATTTCTATAAAATATTGTTCTTTACATCTGTATTTTGTTTACCAGAAAACACACACACATGTATAGAAAGTACTCAAACCAATATATATACCTTTGAATTTAAAGAAACTTATTCGACACTGTGGGTTTTCACATTATCTGTCAGCTATCCTAATGAATGTATTTTATTTTCTAAAAAATCACATCTCTTAGAATTTCAGTTGTCAATGATTTAGGTGTGTTACTACAAGATTATTCTGTTGTCAATGATTTAGGTGTGTTACTACAAGATTAGAAACAAGAGGTTTCAAATGTGTCTACTTCCAACTTTTTATGCAGATTTTAGCCTTTCATATATAGTTTCCATGTTGCTTATCCCAGATGTAATATTGATGTTCGTATAAGAATCTATGTATGGAAAAAATATTTATTAACACTGTATTGTACTCATTATCTTGACAGTCGTAGTCACGTATTAAGAAACTTTGGATCCCAGTATAAATCCAGGTTTTATATTAGCGAATGGAACATTTCAAAAGACTAGTTGAAACCAAACCGGAGATGCATAGGGCATACACGAAGAATAGGGTAATGGACTTTCGTGGACTGTCAGTGGATGAGTTTAACCCTTTCGCGATCAGGCATTTTGTAATTTTAGGAGCCAGGAAACACTGAAAAATTTCACAAGATACCACATATTTTATATCTGATTGCTTTATTGTAAAAGTTATTGAAGTAAGGTTCTACAGAGTACATTGAAATAAATTCAGTATGAAAAAACCCTTATCAAACTATGTCCGTATAGTTCATGGAAGTGGAAATCGTGGGCATACTAAGTACCCCCCATAATATGGTAAGCAAAGGGGTTAAATAATCTCTATAACATTTATTTCTGCATTTTCACAGCAGCGATTAATTAGGGTAACGGTTATTTTAATGAAAACAAAACTCTACAAGCATTGTTTTAATTAATTAAGCTTCTTCAATTTGACTTCGAGGCGAGTACTTAAAACGGTTAGGTTTTATAGCATTAACGTAAATGTTAAGGTTTGTATACATTTGTTTAAGAATACTCAACATCTTATATATACAAATATGTTTAATTTACAAAGCCTGAGTGTTTTATTTTATGTTAATAAATGAACAAAACCAAAATTTCAGTAACAGCATTAAAAATTTTGATTAACAATCACTTAAAATGTATTTTTTGTCAAACCTGGACCACTTTTACTCCATACCTTAACTAGCAAATATATTGATAAACCCATTGATAATGCGAATATGTACTTATAGCATTTTAACTTTTACTAGGCAATGGCATGGCGCAACGCTAGCTTAAACATGAAATATTATGAACTATACACCCATGTTCAAGAGCAACTGGTTCGATGAATGAATTTTTTTCATCTTCCTGATACATGCATAACTAGTTATATATCGCAAAGCCGTGAATATTTCATTGACTTCTGAGTACGTGCTATTTTCAGAGATATGCTTATAATACTGAAATTTTCTATAATAGGTATTATCCAAAAATAAACAAACCACATAGTCGTGTAACACACCTCCTAAAATGAAAATATGAAGAACAAAAAACTGATGTAATTGTTAACGTTAAAACATTGTTACACAGACAACTGGAAACTATTATATTTTATTAGCTATGCAATCTTTATTATACAGTGTGTTTGGTTATATATTATCTTTTTAGCCGTTACGATGAACGCCTACACAAATATTATTTAATAGATTAATTAATCCAGTGTTCGTGGATTAGAAACTTGTCATTCCTCTAATACCAAAGCGTAATCCTTCTTTTCAAAACAAGAGATTACGGAAATGTTTTTATTCTGTTTTACTTTTCAAAAGAACAACCGTCCATCGTTTAAAAGGTCCCTATGGAAATATAATAACATTGTTTAATGATTGATAAATTTCCATACTTACCCCCTATCAGTGTAAAACTCAGAGGTGGAACGATCGCTTTTCAGCGAAATCATGAAGATAGGGTGCAAGAAATTTGCAATGATTAATACATGAGGTGAAACATAGAAGATGTCGCTAGGTGCTTGAAAGATTCGATACTCGGGCCAATAGGAGCGGCAATTTTCGACGTTTTAGTATGATATCGATCATGGTTTTCTATCCTGTTTTTTTCAAGACACCCCGTGTGTCAGTGCCTAGGTGACGCCTCTGTCTTTTAGGATCTCTTGTAATTCATATCTAGCCTGCCCTGACTTAGTATCTTCAGTAAAAATCATTAACTGTCTGAGTTTGTATTATCAATAGTTTTATGAACGGATATACTGTGAACAAAAGTAATGTTTGATGGTCTGCACATATTACTCTTTTACACACAATATTCTAGATAACAGCTTACTGATATTTACATTCGATAGTCGTTTTTCGAGTAAATATAATACCTAAAATTGACATTTCTGAGTTTGATAAACTTAGTTTCGACTTGTTTTTATTTTCTATGTTATTTCATTTTTGATGATACTTCTTTCACATTATGTTCACACTAGCGGTCACAATCAAAAATCTTAATCACAAATACAATTGCACATCTATTTTAGCCTTCCACAAGGCCTTTCGTTCAATACCATACTGCATATACAAATATCGTTTCAGCAAAACTTTGTCTATAATCGTCCAGCCCAAATGACGAGTTCTTGTATTAAATAAAATTCCTTTTAAGCAGTAATTTGTGGTAAACAGAAGATAGCCTTTTTTTTTTTTACACACTTCCGATTTTGAATCTGAAATGGACAAATTACAAGGAATGTGGAAAAACATCTGCAGTTTACGTGATTCTTATAAATTGCAAGCCTATTGATTTTTAATGATTCGCCGGCTTTCGGCATTTGAACTGTAACTTTTAATCAAAATAATCTAACTTAAATGATTGGCAAATAATGCAAACAGAAGAAATTGGTTGATTATCCAAAATTGTTATCTTACCTTATGAACGCTGAAATCGGATCCTTTTTGTACTGCGTCACATCATCCAGCAAGAAATATCGTTCAATATCCAGATTTTAAGCAATTAAACTTGAGTACAGGCAGCTCTATAAGATTTAATTAATTTGAACAAGAAACTGCATTGGTTAAAAATTTCCATGTAACTCGGTTAAGTATTTCTACTGTAAGAAGAGAAAATTAGGAGATATTAGTGACATTTCTCCGATCCGGGAAGAGTTAATAAAATCTCCTAAATCGCGGGATTCTCTTTGATAAATCCTGGAGTTGGGGAAACCCTGTTATCTACAATATCCCATTATTTTAACCTCTAGTTCATACATTGATTTATTGCTTATAGGTCAGGACCCTTTATAATCTATTATAATAACACACCCAAACTTAAAACGTTTATTTATATTACAAAAACTGGTTATTTTCTGTTTGTAGGCAATAAAATGGGATGTTAGGAAATATTTCCTCACTCGGCTTGGAGCCATAATATTTGCCATTATCTTGATATATGCTGTTGCTCAAGTTAACGTGGTAAGTGATAGCAATAGTTTATCACAAATTTACATTGGTCTGTTCTTTAAATTTTTTAATAACAAGTTTTAGAAATATCTTCATGCTTATAGAAGTTTTTTGTATGAAAGCTAGCACTGGATTTATTATTCCTATTTCGAAAATGCGACCATATTAGAGTTTGATTTAGCACTTTTCTAGATTGCTTAAAATGAGTTTATTGTTTATTTTAAAATTACAAAATCAAAAATTCTACGATTAAAATATATAAACTACTTTGTAAGTCGTCTTAGTGGAATGAAAATGTTAGTTTGCTGTTTATCTTGGCAGAAAATGTACGTACTGATTTTAAAATGTTAATAAAGTATACTAATAAACTGTGTTCATGCCAAAAGTTGACGTCCATCATTAGGTATTATGTGTTCTAACGTCGAAATATAGCTAACCAATTATCATCATATTTCACTACCTAGAATTTGGAATATACAGAACCAAGCAAACTATATTAGTATTTTCACCATCACTATGCTAACATAGCATACACTTGTATGCATAATTTCAGAATAGCATGGTTTATCTTAAAGAACATTCCAAACATCTAGGAAATTGCGAAATTGGAGTATGTCAAACTATCTTTAGTTTTAAAAAAAAATCTATAGTACGCCCGCCGTCACATCATTATAGAAAAAATTTTAAACCTAGAATTTAAAAATTAATGGAACTAATTGAATATTCAAATACATAATACCATATAAAAAAGTTTATAGGCTTAGTATTTCGTACATAATATTGCAACAAGTAATAGAAAAGTTTGCTGCGAAAAAAAGGGCGTTAGAAATTAGGGGGTGCCACAAATGGAAAACTAAGGTTTAATTAGGCCTTTTCAAGTATGGGATTGGTTGAGTGTACAATTTTTTTAAAATTATAACGGATAAAGAAGACGTGCTAAAGGCGAAAAGCTTCATTTTAACGACCAGTTGAAACTCAGAGTTTTTTATATCAATGAAACCCTGAATAAATGTCGAGAAAGTTTTGAAAGATTTTATGTTGCTCTTATGTGACATCGCAGAATAAAAAGTTCATGAAAGTTAACTTTATTTAATCTTTTAATCCAATTTCTTTTGACAATAAAAAAAAAGACTGAGAATAGTGACTCCAATTTTGACGAGAAAGTAAATACAAGATATATTTTCTATAAATGTTCTCATACCTATAGTGCGTTAATAAAAAAAACTGAGGAAAGTAATTTGAGAGGAAACAGCTTTATTGTTGTTGTTTTCATAGTGCAAAGCCACACAATAGCACTATCCACTGCTGACCCAAGGGGGACGAGAAGAAACAAATAAAAGGCGTATTTTTTTATAAATGAGAATTGGCTTAGATTACAAAATAGACAAAAATCTGAGAACAAAAACATGGAACATGGTAGGAATGGAAAGTATAGTGGCATGTATACTTTCATTACATTGGATGAAAAAAGAAAGAAATATCGTCTAAAAGCCTCCTATCGTCAATTTTAATTTTGCTTTTGTATGTTTTTTAATTACGCTTATATATATATTCAAATAAGTACTCGTCACCTTTAATTTCTGAATAAAATCCATGAAGATTAATTTTAGTTGAATAATGAAGATCGTAAAATCTTGGAACCCGAGTTTAGACTAGATTCATTTCTTAACGTTATTGAAACGGCTGTTTAGCTACCGTGCGAAATTCACTTTTTCAGTTTGATATATTTAATCAGAATATTTCGAACCACTTAGTGGGTTGCATGAAATTAGGCAATTCCGATAAAAACATAAGCATCGATGCAAATAGTGCCTTATGCATTAAAAATCTGTATAAATTAAAATCGCTAATTATCGGAAACAAATTTCTTTTTTTTATTCGAGAACTTCTAAGACACGTTGAGGAATAAAATAAATTGGTGAGGATTAACTAGAGCTTGTGGCGTATTCATAATTCTATTCAATGAACGAAGCAAGAAACTCGTCTTAAACTCTGCGGTCCTAAATCAATAAAACCGAGGAATGTTCGTTAAAATACTAAAGTAAAAATTATAATGTCTAAATAGAGATACAAGATTAAATAATTAGTTAACTGAAAGAAAGAAAGATTGCTAAACAGCTTGTTTCCTAAAAACTTCTTGGTGCACTTCTTCCTAAAATCTTAACTGAGGCTCTATCTCGTTTCATCTATTGTGTTTAATCACAAAAACATAACACATTGCTCAAAATTGTTGTAAACAACATAAAATGCAATAACGTTGCATTGATGTCTGAAAGGAGGGTCTTCATTCTACTGTTTATCTGTGAAAAAAGCGTGAGATGTAACCAAGACTGTAAACGAAAATCATTTCTTATAGCTGTTCCATTCTCCATTGTTTTAACTCCAATCGTTTAATGCTTTTACTTCCGTACATTTTAACTGTTGAGAATTAGTTTGATTTTCTTTAGGTTTTCCAAAGTTGTCAGACTACTAATCGTAAAATACATTTAAAAGTAAGCAAATAATATATCCAAAATGATTATTTATTTCATTCGATTTATATTGATTGTGTCTAAGTAAATAATTTCAAACAAAATTGTTACAATACGGATTCAACCTTCTTAATAAACTTTGTATCATGGTCTTATAAGACTGTAAAAAACCTTCAAATGGCTAAACTCGTCCTATTGTTGCAGGAAATTTTTCTAAACACTTTTTTTTCTTTAATAAAGACTGATTTGAAATCCTGAATATTTAATAAGGAAGGACAACATTCCACTGTTTAAATATATGAAAAAAAACCAAGATTTCTATTGTTTATTTTAAATGCTAATTTCACAATCAAAAGAAACAGAATCTCTGCTTACTTGATGAAAATCATGTGTTAACAGTTTTGTCTTATACTTTTAATGGCAGTTTTCAATGTCAAGGAAATTAACTATCTCATCAGATATCATAAATCCTTTTTTTTTTCAGTTCTCATGCGTCGCCGACCCTGTCTGCGTAGAAAGTACAACAAATGTCACTCAAGCACCACTTTATGCTGACCATCGGTCATGTCCACTACCTCATTACATTGTCATCAGCTGTTGCCTTGCCTTCTTACCCATTGTTCTATTCCTAAGACTTGCCATTCTCATTAAGGCGGCTTTACTCCTGCCAATGACTATTATTTTCTGCTTGATAACCGAGTTCACCCATGCCTCAATGTTTAGCTGCTATGATGAGCAAGTCAGGTTTGTAATGACGTCACATACATTCTTATGAACCATTTATCCTTTTTTCAGTGACATAAAACAAGTAACATCAATTATCACAGCTTCGTATTTCACATTTCAATACTACATAAAGTTTTAAGTCCTCTTTCCAAAAGAGTAATATGTTCGTGTATGTCCTGTCGTAAAAACTAAAAATTATTTCTGGTAGTAATGTAATGATTCAAGAAGTAATTTCGTGTGGTTATTATTATTATTTTTTGTCAGAAACACACACACACATATACATATATATATATCGATAAATCCGGAAAAAAAAAAGACACTGCCAATAAAAGTTTTGAAAAATTAAGACTCAAAACATGAAGCTGTCCTTTGGATGTAGAAAGAAACAGGGATTTGTTATTCTTAATTTAAATGATCAGCTATTTTAAAATTTTTTTAAAACATTGGGTGACTGGGCGAGCCAGAAACTTTTTTTTTTTTTGCATACATAACCAATACCTCAAGATTACAAATCTAATACTTGTATGTAATTTACCATATATATGTTGTATTTCTAACAAGTTGGTGTGTATTTCTAAATTGCCTAGTAAATAATTCATAGATGGTAACGCCTGTCTTCGTATAAACACAAGAAGTTAGTTTTCTGGATGACTAGGAGAAACATGATAATTTCATAGGGTTTCTATGCTGTACCATTTTGACTATGGTTGGAGTCTTCCGATTAAAACACTTCTCGGGAGATTTTTAGGAACCAATCACAGCACTAGTTACAAGTCGTTTTGGGACCGAAACCTAGTTCAGACATGGTAGCATAACTCAATTTTAGTTTTACGAAATTATGCTGCTATATAACACTCATCTCAAAATCAAAATTGAATGACTTTGCAGTTCTGAAAAATCCTTATTATAGGCTCTGCGAGATCATTAATAACCCAACGATGTTTTTTTTTTATTATTCTACAGCAGGGCTTAGTTAGCTAAGTCTGGAAAGTGTTCCAATTAATTTAAAGAACTGGGTAAAACTACGTATAAAAGTTGATATAATTTGATATTAAAAGAAGTGTTTCTTCCTACCTTTTTCTTCTAATATTTTAACGCTGGTGAGATGTTGGGTAAAAAATTATCTAATAATTAATATCAGTATAATATTTTAAAATCTTGTACAAATTTAGGAAGTCTAGAAACATAAAAGAAGAGAGACATTTCTTTGAAATCCATATCAGTCAGATTCGATTGAGAATTTTCTCTAATTCTTTTTTTTTTTTCATTCATGAAATGAGCCAATCTCGTGAAGTGTTCTTAGAAATTATAAACCATTTGAAACGATACTGTTAGGCCGCTTACCATTGGTCAAAATAAGTAAAATATACAGCATATGTGGTTATTGCCTCTTTTAGAACTTTACAGAATCGCGAATTTCTAAATCAACATCAGAAAGCAACACAGTTTTTAATTGTTGTCTTATCTATATCAGCATTTATCTTCTTTCTTTTATATGGATCTAACAGCTGAACTTAGATAACATGAATATCAAAACGAATAGTAAAATCAGCTTCTGAAAATAGTAACGCTGGTCACCATTAGTAAGATTAAGTAACTTCAGATTTTCAGAACTTAACACAATACTATCAAAATGAACACGTTGAGTTGGTGGAAGTTTGAAATTAAAACATTTTACTTTATATGCGTACAGTGTCAACAGTTTCAAAGGAAGAGCGCTACAAAGAATTCCTATTTTAACAAGGCTACTCAAGAATGCATCAAGGATTTGTGCTTCTAATGAACCACTCAAACACCAATTAGAGTATCAATTACAAAGACGACAGAAACAGATGTACAATGTATCTGGCAGGGTAATTAATGTTACTGCATACTTATCAGTGCGACAAGATATTCAAAACATGGCTGTTTGACATTCAAAAAAACCCACTTCTTACATTTTCTCTGTCCGCTAAGTATTAATTAGTAAATTCAAGTATTTGTCGGTATTGTAACTTTCAGTACTGTATCAAACGCTTATTGTTTCTACACAAACTCGACTCATTGAATAAACTGTATATAGGTGCAGAAGCCAATGAACAGTTAGCTGATGACAGAAAGTATGGCTTCATATTTCGAATAATAGAAAGTCTTGTGTGATATGTGTATAAAAAAAGGGTGTTTCTATTGAAAATATTTTTGAAAAGAATTAAATCAATATAGTGTTTGAAAAAATATATATATACACCCAAGAAATGAACTGTTTGTGTACAAGTCTTTTAGAAGCGAAACTTCCAATTTCCTTAAGCTTTTACTCTTCTCAGGAACGCTGTTCCATTCCATATCTTTGGAATTGTGGCCATTGGTCAGTTTCTACTTGCCGTGTTAGTACAAGGCCGTCAAGTTGAGTGGACAGCGAGACTCGACTTTCTGTGGAATGCACAGGTATGGAATACAAGAGGGAATATAATATCGCTTATTTCCTTTTCAATACACGCTTTTAATATATTATTTTTGCATATTGTTTAGCTACCTTAATTCTTTATTATCTAAACAATTCTATATATTATTTAAATTTAATGTATTTTAAAGATTGTGCTTCCTCTTTGGCTATGAATACACATATTGTAACATAATATACGAGACACTCGCCAGAGATTCGTCAAGTAACTATGACAACAGCCGAAGATATCGATGGTAGCGCCACACCATAACAACATGGACAGTATTGCATGCGTGTACTTCCTAACATACTCTCTAGAAAAAAATACATATTTAAATTCGTTGAATATGAAAAAAAGGTTAAGGGCCACTACAAATGTTTCAAAAATATCAAGTAACGTGAGTGTATGAAGTTTATTTGAGGCAGAAATCCCTACGACATGGACTAATGGAACGAAAAAATAACATAAATCTATTATTTTTAGCTAACGCAAACTAGAGTTTATTACGAGACATTTCTATTCACGTAAACAGAATAATGACCTATTTCTTCAGAATATATCATTACTGGCTTCATATTTCGCTAATTACAGCTTCGTTAGGAGCTATCGATAAGCTTCAAGTTCATTAATCCGGTTGAAACTAAACTGTCATGTTTGATATTATTTTAACATGATCTGAACCTTTTAGACTTGTGGATCAATGTTAGATTAACGGATGATGGTGTTCCAATTTAATTCAAGTGGATTAATGAAGTTATAGGATATTATCGATAGCTCCTGACGAAGCCAATAAAGAAAAATTCTAGAATTACATCGTTATTTTTTTTCCTAAATTGATAGAACTATAACGTACATTTTTTTGTTCCTATAAGAAAGAGATTTTGTTTTCATTATGTTTGTCTATTAAATTTTCTTTCACAATCTGTAAGTGACTGTACATGAAATAACAAACACGAAAATTTCTTTCTTAGCCAATAATTTCGTTAACGAGATTTTTATTTTGTCTGGTAAAGTCCATAGTCTTACTGCTGACCAATTGGGGGAATGAAATGCGTTGATTATGTCCTGTTTAAAAAACTGTAGAAAGTTTTCAGTTTCATCAGAAAATGTCAAAATGTAATGTAATAAAACCCTCATTCGGGTTGTTTTGTGTTTATTTCACTTATAATATTTCTTATATAAATAGCACTTTGATAAATAAATATTAAAGTTAAATATGTCAAATATTTGTACACGTTTTCAACTTTTATATCCGTTAAGTACTATTTATTATTTTCGAGTGTCATGTACTTTGTGATAAACAAACTACGTTTATTTTACAAAGTTAAAGAGAGAGACTTACTTTGTTGTTAGGCAAACGAAGAAAAGCACGAGATGCATCAGTTGCAAAATAACAATCGGCGTATTTTGTTTAATCTTCTACCCGCTCACGTGGCGATGCACTTTCTGGACAACCAGTTTAGAAACAATATGGTATGTTCAAATTAACATTTTTCCTGTCTTTAGCTACAGAAAGATTTCAAACTGGGAAAGCAAGTAAATTATACGTATATATATAACTAAAATAATTCAAGAAACAAACTTTTCCTTACAAAAAGAAGAAAGAAACCGTAGCAACAAGATAAGAAATACTATTAGGGAACAAGTTATATGGCGGGAAAATATAAAATGTATCATGATTTTGGAGGTGTTTGTGTAAACATTGAATATATCATCTTCCAAACTTAACCTCTCTTCTTTTATCTCACAGACTGCAAAAATGAATGTATAACTATCAGATGTGGGTTCTAATACGCATAAAATAACAGAGAATTGCGTACTTTGTATCGAAACGATTTTGAAGTCTGAACACGTCATTACAGTCTATGTCGCCACCTCTTGTCATGCTTTATTAGATGGCCGTGAGTCTTAACAATAGCCTTGTAAGTAGTTTTCATTAACAGTCTCCGTCATAAGACTGTCATGTCCAAAGCATACAACCTCTCCCTACCTGCTTCCCATAATACATCTAGAGTACGAAGACGACGACTTTCTAGCGCTAATTTCAACATTCCAATCGCACAGAATTCCATAGACGCTGTCACTGCGTTCGGCGAGTGAACAGTATGGAATAGATGAATAACCATTTCATTATATAGCTGTTTCGGATGTACGAAGATTGAACAGATACAACATACAACATACCGCACATTGCTTACCGAGTCTAGGGCACGAAAGTCGGTAGGTATATTTCTAGTAGGTCCTTTTACCCCAAATTGATTCATATTTCTTTTTCCCAATGCCAAAAAAAGTACAAGGGATATTCTTGGAAATTTTAAAACCCCGATATGGTATGAACGTATACATATTTTGCGTCGGAAAGGGCTGCTTCTGACCCTTACCAAAAGCAATCGATCAATTTTCGGTGACATAGGAAAACCTACGTAACGCCAAACAGCGCCAAAATGTAGTTCTGATACATTCCATTCCACTGCGGCTTTAATAAATTTGCTGTAGTTGTCATATAAAATACATGGCTCTCTCACAAATAGTTATATATGTATTATTTCTTGCAGTTTGTGAGAGAAGCGAATGAAGGTTTACGGTGTATCCCACCGCTATGTAGGTCCTGTTTCCTAATACTTCTCCAACAACTAAGATACATTTTATATTATCTCACAATATGCTTGTGTCTCGGTGGTGATATTTGTTATTCCTTTGCTGCATTTTTTTTTCTGTGGAGAAAAGTATTGTTCCATAAACCAGTATTTGTCTAATATCAAAGGTTTTTCCAGGCCTTTCTTAAGGCTTTCATTTCTTTTGATGTAAAATCTTACTTAACTGTATCTGATGTTCTTTATATTTTTTGTTATATATAAAACTATATATATATATTTCTGACGACACACAACGTTAAACTGCTGATATTTTTATATATACTATTCTGTCAGGATGGAATATGGTCAAATGATGTTCAAACCATCATTTGTTTCCATATTCCACTGCTCTATATCACAACTGCATAGACAGTAGATAGAAAAGCATCATCGCAAGTGGGATATGGAAAATAGAAGTAGATATAGAAAATGCTACGTATGCAAGTTTGTGCCGGTAAATCGAAATAACATTGTTAGAATTTAGTGTATAAAAACATTGGAAGTTTCCTACTTTGTTTCCATATGTGCTAAGATCTCGATTATTTTTTTTTAATTTGTACATATAATTTCAAATTTTAATTATCTTATGCTTTCCATAATTTGTTTTACTTCAATGTTTTGTCTATTTTGGAACGTTATCGCTAAATGTCAAAGTCTAACTTCATTATTAATCATAGCGTTTCAATTTAGTTTTCATTACTTTGTTTGCGAGGCCTATACAGGAACATAGCTTCTGTGATTTAACTGATAACACCTGTCAAAACTTTGTCTGCATGGAACACTATCGATAGGTTTACAGCCTTCTCGTCACTCAAAGATGTTAATCAGTAGTTTTCAAGATTTTTATGTCGGTCGATAAATTCTATTTTCGCCTAAAAGGCTTGTTATCGGCATTACATTTCAATATTTGTTTTTCAGAAGGTTCTGATCAATTTCATTATCATGTTTTATTTCTAGGAACTTTACCATCAGTCATATGCCAAAGTTGGTGTCATGTTTGCTTCTATACCCAACTATCACGAGTTTTATATGGAGCTCAATGCTAACAACCAAGGCGTAGAATGTCTGCGTCTTCTGAATGAAATAATTGTTGATTTTGACGAGGTAAATGGTAATTTATTATTTCTATTACTTTAAAAGGTTTAGGATATCACATCTGTTGGAATAAGTGAGATTAATGTCGAGTTAGATTAGAAATAATCTCAGCATTGAAATTTCAAATGATCGAAACTTCTGTGCTGCACAATCATTCGCTAACCCTAACATCATCAAATATCTTAATTTTCACTTTACGTAATCCTTATTTTCAATTGCTTTAACGGGTTAAGGATATCAAATCTGTTGAAAGGAATAAGTGATAATAACTATTAATATCGAGTTAGGTTAAAAATAGTCTCAGCATTGAAATTTCAAATGATCGAAACTTCTGTGCTGCACAATCATTCGCTAACCCTAACATCATCAAATATCTTAACTTTCATTTTACTTAAACAATTTTGGGATTTTTCCAGAATTATGAAGCACAAAAACACATCTAAAAGTCGTTCACCGTAAACATTTGGGGCACTGGGGAAATATAACCATAATTGAATAACAACATTACTCGTTACATTTGTTTATTTGCTTTTGTTTTTTAGACTTTTCACGCAAAGTTGCACAAGGTTTATCTGCACTAACCGTCCATAATTTTAAACTGACAGACTAGAAGGATGGCAGCTTGTCAACAGGTCCTATCGATATCTGTTGGATTACTCTTGTCTGACAGAATATTTAAATTGACCGTCCCTCTTATAGTGTACTCACGGCCCAAATGTGCAGAGCACTTATTTTGCGGCAATGAGAAGTGAATCATAAACCCTCGGATTCATAGTCTGGGCACGCTAACACTTAGCCACGACCATTTGATTCATTGGACCGTACCAAATGAAATGTTAGTAGTATCTATGATAATAGTAGAACATATTTTTTTTAAATTGCATTTTAATATTCTGATACTATTTGTCTGAAAAACGTCATTAACAGCTGTAAAAATTTCAGTAAATTTAAAAAATGCAAATTCAAGAAATAAAATACCCTCATCATGGAATACACGAATGCAATAAATCATCATTAATATTTCATAACATTTCAAATATTAGGTTATTGCTAAACATATTTCGGAAAAAATAAAGTTGTTTGTTTTTCTATAACGGTTATCGAAACTAATGCGTATACTTCAATATGAGTTTGTTGGTTGTTTCTTTAAAAGATGTTTATGGTTTGAAATAACATGTTCTATCAAAGTACAAAATAATCACTAATCTTTATAAAAAGTATTATTCCTTTAGAAAATACAAATATGCAAAATGTATCAATCTGCGGTGAATATGGATAAATAAAAGTGATATGAGAAGAATACATGTTTAAAAATTTCACTGACAATCAACTTCCCCCTGTTAACTTTTGATTAACGTTTATATATCTGTGTAATATTTCCAGATATTACAAACAAACTGACAAACTTCTCCAATCTATTTTATATATTTCAATTCCATGAAACCTTAACATTCCAAACACTTCGCTTTCAGGAAGCCATTCTGGATTCATACAACATAAGTATATATTACCGAAACGGAGCCCCCAGTGGCACAGCGGTATGTCTGCGGACTCACACTGCTAGAAACCGGGTTTCGATACCCTTGGTAGGCAGAGCACAGATAGCCCATTGTGTAGCCTCGTGCTTAATTCCAAACAAACAAACAAACCGAAACGGAAAAGTAGATCACAATATGAAATTATGTCTGTCTCTTTTTTTGTTTTATCTTTAACATTTCAACTTCTCCTAAGCAAAAGCATCAGTAAAGATGTAATACATTTCTGTGTTTGTTTTAGCTTTTAGATGATGAGAGGTTCAAAACAATTGATAAAATCAAGACCATAGGAAGTACTTACATGGCGACAATTGGACTTATCCCGGATTCTCGTATTCCGGTAAGTTTCACTAACGATAAAAAAAAAATCATCAAAGTACTAAACTAAAATAAGATACGAACAGAGTTTTGTGTATTTAGAACATTTCTTGTTGGAGTAAATAACAAAACAAATATTTGTCTGAAATACACACCCACTAAGGTTAGAGTAGGAAGTGTGTAAACATTATTTAGAAATATTTTTTGATAAGTTAATTTTCAAACTTTCATCCTGTTGGTCGATAGAAAATGCTATTGTTTTGAGATATATAAACTTGCAGTAACATGATCTAATAACTCACATTTCAATCTTTGAAACAGAAAATGTTAAATTTCGTTAAAAGTAGTTCTTGCAACCTGCGATATAATATTTGTGTGTGCTATAGTATCGTCTAATTATCAAAGAATGACACGCCGGAAGGAAGTATAATAACTTAAAAAGCCCTAATCATTTCGGATCCTTAATAACATTTTCAAATAACTTTGATATATGTAAAACATTATCATCATCCAAGCAAACTAAATTCCAACTATAAAGAGATGATAATCTAATAATTTATATGTAAATGTGTACTCAATATATACCAACGTCTTCACAGTGGGATAGAAAACTTTTAAAGTGATAGAATAAAAATCGTTATAAGTGAATGATACTAGAGCTAGTGTAAACTGTATATATATTCGAATGTAGACTGTAAAGTAATGCAAGTCAAATGAAAGTTGTTGTTTTTTTCTGTAAAGACTCCTATGACTTATGTAATCTTTATGATAAAATGTATATTAAAAGTGATTTTCCTGTCACCAGATTGACTCGTGAGATGTCAGAATATGCAAATATCAATGTCATTAAAAGTATTTTAAATAGAGAAAGAAACGGATATTTTAAACACGAAGTCCTCTATTATAAATTTGAAATACTACTTTCACGTTAGGAAGATAACGACGACGAAGCTGCCAAGTGTATCAGCACGTTAGTAGAACTAGTGTTTGCCATGAGAGACAGACTGGCAGATATAAATGAAAATTCTTACAATAATTTTATGTTACGCGTAGGTGAGTATCCTATTTGTAATGTAAAATAAATATATGTATGACTAACAGCTTGCGTTTGTTTGTTTTTCCTTTATAAAGCAATATCACTTATTGAATCAAGTGTTGGTAATTGTTAAATGACATTTATTTCTTGTTTAGGAAAATGTTGTTCTTGATCATCTACTTTTAGAGAAAAGTTTTGTTGTTTTTCTTTCAAACCGATATGTAGATCATGTTAAGAATTTTTTTAACAGGCATGTAGACCTAGTTAAGAGGTATGTAAATATTATTAAGAATGTTTTAACAGGCATGTAAACCTAGTTAGTAGGCGTGTAAATCTTGTTAAGAATGTTTTAACATGTATGTAGACCTAGTTGAGAGGCGTGTAAATCTTGTTAAGAATGTTTTTAACAGGCATGTAGACCTAGTTAAGAGGCGTGAGATATTGTTAAGAATGTTTTAACAGGTATGCAGACCTAGTTAAGAGGCATGTAGACCTTGTTTAAAATGTTTTAACAGGCATATAGACCTAGTTAAGAGGCATGTAGATCATGTTAAGAATGTTTCTAACAGCCATGTAGATCATATTAAGAATGTCTTTAACACGCATGTAGACCTAGTTAAGAGGCATGTAGATCATGTTAAGAATGTCTTTAACAGGTATGCAGACCTAGTTAAGAGGCATGTAGACCTTGTTTAAAATGTTTTAACAGGCATATAGACCTAGTTAAGAGGCATATAGATCATATTAAGAATGTCTTTAACATGCATGTAGACCTAGTTAAAAAGCGTGAGATATTATTAAGAATGTGAATGTTTTAATAAGTATGCAGACCTAGTTAAGAGGCATGTAGATCATGTTAAGAATGTCTTTAACATGCATGTAGACCAAGTTAAGAGGCATGTAGATCATGTTAGGAATGTCTTTAACAGGCATGTAGACCTAGTTAAGAGGCATGAGATATTGTTAAGAATGTTTTTAACAGGTATGAGACCTAGTTAAGAGGCATGAGATCTTGTTAAGAATGTTTTTTTTTGACAAACATACTGTTACGTCTCTGTTCGTTTGTTAATTTCCCGTATAATTTCTTTCCAATGAAACTTTAGCGACACAAGTCCTTTCTTAAATACAACTAGTTTATTCTTTCTCTATACAACTTTGCAATACACTTAATTTCCACAGTCACTTTAACTTAAACATATGCTATAATTCACAACGATTTACGCACTTTACTTGCGGCTTGACTCGATTATATATGTCTCTATATCTCCCTATCTGCCCTTATCTATGCCATCACTTCTCCCCGCTTTATTTGCCGGGCTTATATATACAAAAATAGATGGCGCGTACAAAATACTAGAGTTGCCAGGAACAGACATGATCCTTCTAGAATCTCATGACGTGTTACTAGGGTCACGTGACTTCCGTTGTCGTAACAATACATTTCTTTTAAAAGAGACTTGGATCCTGTATAGAATTTTTTAACACACGTGTAGATTTTTTTTGAGAAATATACATTTCTTGTTAAAAGAGACTTAGATCTTGTTTAGAATGTTTTAACACACATATGTATCTTGTTAAGAATCTTTAAAAAAATTATTGTTAAGAGGCGCGTAGATTTTGTTAAGAGTGTTTTTAACAGGCATGTAGATCTTGTAAGAAAATATGCTGCTCTAAGTCACTGATAATGCATTTATCTTTGAAACATATGTTGTTTATGATAACAGGTCCGTATTTTCAATAATTACAACATTCCCATCTTTATTTTAGTCTAGCGAAACTACTTGGCTTCGCTCGGGTTATTAGGTTGACATATTCCACATGACTATGTCAGTATGCGTATTCTGAACCCATTTTAGCATAAACGTATAATCTATAAACTTTTCTTACTAAGCAACATGACACAAAAGTCATTGTTGGAACGCATTATTACCAAAACGCAGCGGCTTTTCTACATATAAAAGTTGTTATATAAGAAACCACTTCTTTTCTATGTGGTTTTTCGCTAGCTTGCCTCATTAAAGAGACGCACATGCGCGCACTCATGGATAAGATAATTAATATTCAGGTACACACCCTCAGTATGGGTGCAAAATTTCAAGTTTCTAGGCTCTTTCCTCTTGTAGATATGGCGGTCACATATTCTTTTCTGTGTGGTTTTCGCTACTACCTTACCTCATAAAAAGTTGCACACACACGTTGATAAGGAATAAAACCCAGGTGCACACCATCAGGGACCACTTAGTATGGGTGCAAAATTTCAGGTGTCCAAGTTCTTTGTTCTTGGAGTTATGGCGGTCACACATACAAACACGCCCTTTTACTATTATAGATATATATATTATAGATTACCTCTTGTTACGAAATTGTTTTTCTTGCCAAGAAGTAAGGTATATTTAGATTACATGAAATCCTAATTACATATTTAATTATCAGTCACATAAAAAAATCAGAACAGAATGTGTATCATATTATACGACTGAAAAGTATTAAAGATAATGAAATATATTTTAGAGAGACATATTATACCAATGATAAAATATATCCACATATACAGCATAGAAATTCAAACATCACGATTGAATACCGCCAACGAATGCCAAAAATAGCATTGAGAATAAATGTTACATCTAAAAAATAAAATGTATATGTAAATGATATTATTTTCAAATTAACACAGAAAGAATAATGTGTCTTACTCTTTTTCATGGAACTTTTTGATTTCATATTGTATCTAAAAATGAACTTCTTTCTTTACTGTTATATTACATACAAACTGAGTTACCCGTCCTTTGTCCGGGTTATGAACTCACAAAAATGTGGAGGTGGATGCTATGATAAATAACACAAAAATTCTAACTTTCACACAATGTATTTATAACATAACATATTGTTACAGTATTTATTATTACTTCACCAAAAGTTTTGTATAAGCATTAAAAACTCAATATGTATATACTTAAAATATGGTATACAGTGTGCAATGATCAGGGTGACTTTGTAGGAAGAGGTAATGGCTAAAATTGTGGCAGTAGGTGTGCTTTCTGTTACCCGTTTTCAACGCTTAGCTCTTAATGTGATTCGCTTGATTAATTAATTGACGGTCACTGACTGCCGAAATTGAAAGGTCACGGGTTAAAGTAGGAAGTGGATATAACTAAAGAAGTGGCTCTTCATATCAGCTTTATTGTGCCTGTTGGAGTAGTAAATTCAGCTGAGTTTTGTTGTTGTAAGGACGTGGCGCCATCCGTGAATGTAGCTAACGTTAACTTACGTCAAAAATAATACATTCTCAATAACAGCAATAATGGGGAATGGAGGAGTTATGAATCCTTCCAATAACATGCTCCTTGTTCCAAACTATCATCCCATAAAGTGTAATTGAGATTGGCCAAGCGACCTAGGAGTAGTTAGATAACGGACAAACAGATAGACACACAGATTTTGATGCTTTATATATATATGTGTGTGTGTAGATTAATACCAAAATTAATTGAGCCATTTCTTTAAAAAAATCAGAAAGTTCTTTCTGGTGACATTTCAGATGACACACATTTTCCTTTGCTTAGGTATCAACGTAGGACCAGTTGTAGCTGGAGTAATTGGAGCAAGAAAACCACAATATGATATTTGGGGCAACACCGTCAATGTGGCTAGTAGAATGGACAGCACTGGATTACCTAATCACACTCAGGTAGTAATCACACTCTAAAGTAAAGATATAGATTAGTTAACGTACAGATATCGCTTGGAAACCACCGATCCTGTGTGCTTGTGTGTTGTTGCTTTTCTTAGGGGAGATAGAAATGATTGATCATAGTTTACTTTTATTTTATGGCAATGTTCTTTATCACTATTTTTACTTTACATTTTAACAATTTAAAATAGGCCTTCTTATAGATTTTGTTTCTACAAACAACGTGCTTAGAATCAGCCTTGTAGACTTGTGTTAACATTTCTTTTTCTAGCACAAAATTCTTGTTATTGATTTCGTTTAAAGTTCTTAAGCCAATATGTAACTTATCTGTGATAGTTACTTGAGTTGATTGATTTTCTTTGAAGACAAGTTCGAGTGTAGATTGTTTTATTTGGTACTAGAAAGCTTTACATAGATTACTTTGTTTGTTATATTTATCGTTAAATTTTTACATGATTGTGTAATATAAATACTTTGTTTGAAGAAGTCTAGAAATAAACTTTGTTAAGTGATTAATTTTAAAAGACGCCATTCTGATCGTGATATTGTCGTATCAATTCAGCCAAGGACTGTTCGTATCTACTTCTTGAATTCGCTATAATTTTATGAGGATAAAAGTTGTATTTAAAGGAAAAGTAAAATCAATAGCATAAGGAATATGATAGTGTATAATCTGTATTTAGGTATCTGAAATTTTAAACTTTCCCAAGTACACTTGTTACGCTATTGAGTTTAGTAAGAAAGCTTTGGCTTTTCGGAATAATTTAATTAAATGTGCTATTAGATTTCAGTGTTGAAAATTGAAAGCGTTTGGTACATTTCTAACTTTGATCATTAAGTTTATACGTTAAATTACTAAAATCATCTAGAAATTTTAGGACGTCACAGTGTGCTTAGTAATGAAAACTAATGTGAATCAGTATGTCTGAATATTATTGAATAGTTGAAGTGCTTTGTATAAAATGTATTCACTTTCAAATGATAACTGATTGAGTATCGTTCAGATTTTACTTTTATTTTGTAAACTATTCATTTGCTTAAATATTCAGATTTTCGTTTAAATTTTCAGGTTACTGAAGATGTCTATCTTTTACTGAAGAATTATCCGTATGTGTTCAAATGTAGAGGTCGTGTGAACGTGAAAGGAAAAGGGGAAATGACTACTTATTTTCTAGTTGGCAGAAAATCGAATGGGGAAAAGACGTCCTCTTATAATTCACAAGGATCTCCAGGACAGTCAGAACCACCTGATCGTGGAGAACAGCAGAATGAAGAATCTTCATCAGTACATGGGTTTTCTCAGAACAATAAACAAATCAGCAGTTGGGAAGGTATGTCTAATGGCAGTGAAAACACCACTCCTAAAACTAGAAAAGTAAAAGCAAACCATGAGCTGAAACGACTGGATCAAGAACATTCTCAGTGTCCGTCAGATTCTTCCTCGCAACAGAATTGGGTTTTTTTTCGGAAGCCTGAACATAGTAGAAGTTCATTTCAAATCCGTGAATTACTATACAATTGCAGTTGTTCAAAACTTCACTATATATATTTTTTTTCGGAACCAATAACTCCAACCATTGTAGATCATTGTTTAATCAATGCTAAGGATATTATTGGGCTACTAAATTTCTTCATATATTATTCTGGTTGCACCAGAAGTTCAGTGTCTTTAGCTTGTCGAAATGAACTATTTTTCCGTCATATTTTCTGTTTACATGTGAAAATTATGACAGTTTTTCAAGTGCAAGAGAAAAAAGGCTTAGCTTTGGAATCACCAGACCAACTAGAACAAGATAAAGTAAACATCGCAAGAGCTATAATAAACATAAATTTATCGTCTCGAGACTCTACTGATAAGTCACATTTTAATATTTCTTATATAGGTTCTATGTTAATGTTTCAGCGACAAGTTTGGCATGGAAATTCAACAAGAAATTTTGAACAAAAGAATAATTCGTCTTCAACAACTAACATGAAGTTTGATGAAATTATCAAAAACGATTCAACCTGTAATAATCATGAAGGTTCATGCCAAATAATTATAAAAGTCTTTCCAGAAACTTTGACAAACTTTTCCAAAGAAAAGGAAGGTCTAATAAAGGACTGTTCCAAAAACAGTAAATCAAATGAACGAAGACATTACAAAAAAATTGAAGTAAAAAATCTATTTTGTGTTATTAGTTATCATAATATTTTGGAAATATCCTGGAACAAAGCCAGTTTTACGATGCTTGGCCAACTAAACATTGATGGAAATCAAAACCAGCTGTTCAAGAAAAATCTGATCACTTCTCTATGTCTGTCAGGAACAACAGATGCATACAACATAAATGAGATGCAACTCCATTTATGCATTAAAGGTATAAAACTAACATCTTGTAGAACGTCACAGAGTCCTGGAAGGAAGAAGTTTATTCATCAAGCAGACAGAACACTCCAGAATTTGCTTAGCAGAGTTATACATATAACCATTTCACTGGTCAACTGTAATGGTTCACAAGATGAATATATGGATGGACACAATGCCAAGATTGCGGTTGACTTGTTGCCTGATAGAAACTATAAAAATGTTGCTTTTTGCAAGAAAACCAATACTCCCAGAGCTTTTGGATCTAGTAGTGAATACAGCGAGGACGGTAGCTGTGAGGATGATGAGTTGATGGAGATTGATTCTGAAGATGATGGAAATATATATATGAATGATGATGTACCTCACAATAGTGTGTCTTTAGAAAACGAATGTAGCTTCATGCATACGGATTGTGTTTTTGATGATCTCATTTCGATTATCAATGGTTACAGTGGCAATATTTATCCGTTTTCTGGGTCCAGAAGCAACAGTTTTGTGAAGACTATCCATTAATTGGATATAGTTCATTAATAATATCGTATAGGTTTTGTCTTTACAAAAAACATAAAACTATTGAAGTCTTTCTAACGCAAAACTGACGTTACGAGTTCGTAACAGTTATGGTTTTCTTATGCTAAGAACTTGACTGTGAACGCGAACTGTTGGTGGTATTTGGATTTCAGAAAGTATACTTTTCATTAATATTCTCTTTTCAGTAATTTTGTGCTTCTTGGAAAATTTAACTCAATTCTAGGCGTTAATGTAGTGGGTTAATAGTCAGCATAAAGCATAATAATCACAATCTTACTTATTTTTGGAAGGCACTATATGACAGCGTAAATTGTGTGTCGAATTTAGGACGAGATCAAAAACTTTAATATAAGTAAAGATACTAACTGGAAATTTCTTCATTTCACTGAAGGACGAAAAGTATTCTGTACGTTTTCCAACAGTAAAGATAATAATAATATTAACAGTCAAGTTAGTGATCACATAAACGTAAGCACTGGTCCCTCTATAAAGATTGAACTGCGATGAAACTTCGGTACGTGGGTTTAAATATGTTAATCTTTCTGTCAAACGATCTCTTTTTGTAAGAAGAGATATTAATTTTGTTATTAGTATTTCAGTAGATATAAAAAATCAATACTTCAAAAATATTTAAGGATAATAAAGTAAACTTCAAGTAACTGAAATAATAGTATAATTGAGAAGTACTGGATACAAGTGAAAGAGTAGGCGTTAGTGCTAGGAAACTAAATCAACGTTATTTCATGCTTTGTGATAGATAGGTTAAAGGTTTAGCCTTAAAATCATCTGACCATGATCGTGTAAAGTTGTAATGCCATGCAAGCGTAAGGTTACCGGTGAGTTGAAGGTTCGCGGGCCTTATATAGTTAACGCTGCTGGTCCAGTATGCTTTGTGAAATAGATTAATATCCAGTAGTTTGGTAGAATAATGCAAAAGTATGTAGCATCGTAGAGCTTAGTGTATACGCTTCAAACACGAGAATTTGTTCGTATTACTGTAAAATTGCCTCAAAGCGTAAGTTTACGTTTTTCTAATTACCCATTGCAGTTGATTAGAAATAATTTACATTATTATTATAACTATTTGTATTACAATACTGGTTATATCTTCAATGCTGAGTGAAAAACACTCATTTGCTACATTTGTCCAACGCTTTACGTCAATTCTATGTATTTTGGTGCTAGCAAAACCCTAGTCATAACGCTAAGTTGATTCCTTTAAACTGGAAAAATAATTGAAATGGAAAATTCTTATCACTTAAAATGGTGTTGTTTTTAAACAGGGTTTTTTTTTGGTTAATATTCTAATGTAATAACAAGGTGAAAATTATAAATATAATTTCATTTTGTGAGTTTTGTACTCTGAACACCAGAGTACTTAGCAATGATAACTACAGGAAATAGAATTATTGAACCTGTCAAACTATAGATACTTAGTAGTAATAGAAATAGTACCCTCTGGGCTTCACAATGCGGTCATATTTTAGTTTAAAAAGAGCTGTGCATTTTTCTATACTGCAATTTTTGATTTGTTGTTAGGTATCACAGAGTATGAGACGAGGTATTAATAGTTTAAGTTCTATGGCCCATTTTTAAAATATTGCTTTCCAATAAATAATTTTAAAAGTTTAACGCTGGTTTTGGACCAGGATATCAATTCATTCTTCGGTTTATTTCAGCATTATAACTCAAAAGCTATAAAAAAAAAATTACATAATCAATAAAACACGTGTCCAAACGCCTAATTATGTGAAAATTTACCCGAGAGTGACAGAAGTATAAAAAGAAGGTCAAAGATATTCAGATATGTTTAGTTTTTTGTTTTTTTTCAAGACCGAACTTTCGTATTAATTTAAAACTTTAGTTTCGCCATACACGTGTCTAAGTCTATATTTCCCCATTCAAAAGGGCAGTTCATTATTGTGTCAAAATGTGGAGGAACATGCCTCAGTGCTCCCCTACCCGGTTTCGCCGTTTATTATCCTGATTAGAAAATTTATGTTATCAAAATATTTTATTAGGTGTTGTTGTTTTTTGTAAAATTTATATGCTGCTGTAATAAAGTAACATAGCTCATTGTACTTTTATATATATATATATTTACAGATTGCATTTAAATGTAAACATTAGTATACGCTACATTGTCATATCACATTTAACCAGAATGTGCAGCTAAGAAATATTTTCCGAAACTAATTCTTTTTCAATGACATACTGAATACAACTTTGTAATTGGTTTTTTTATCCGTTTCTTTCTTTACTGCATACCTGTTGAATGCTATGAATTGCTTCGACATGATATTTCATCTACATAATTAGTCAATAAGCTCTAGCTAAGTATGATATTAATATTTACCACATGCGTATCCTTAATGTTATTAATATTGGATATTTATTATTTATCTGGTGGTTTATTATAGAATCATTATCTTACTATGCCACCTTGTAAAGACTGATTAGTGACTATTAAGCGATTTAAAAGTTTTTATTAAGTAAAACTAAACTGTTTTAGAGTATATTACTGGAATTTATTCTCAAAAAAGAATAATTATTTATCAACGTAAAAAAAATCATTTGTCTACATGTAGTTTTAGTAAGATTTTTAAAGGAGTGTTACTGAGTATTTGTTAGAATCAAAACAAAGTTTTGGTCAAACTAGCCATAAAATGTTATTCCATTTAGATCAGGCACTGACTCTCAAACTTCATACTTTCATGTACAAATAACAATAATAAGTTTCCGCTTTATTTCTATCATTTATATTATATGTAGTTCTCTAGTTGTTGATTATATAGGATCTAACATATTTTGTCGTTTTAGCTTCTTTTTTTTTTTCAGTGCTTGATATTTTCTGTAAATATTAATATTTATTATATTTACAAGTGTATTTCTCAAATGTGCAACACTATAAGTGAAAGCAATTGGCGAATCTGGCAACTTTTGCATGATAAAATTTCTCTTACTGATAAACGCATGGCAATCATTTGATGGAAAGAAAAAGCTACGAGGTGAATTAGGTATACATAAGCTTAATAGTATCGTAAAAAAAACTTATGATATGGGTTTATTGTGTGCTTTCAAATCATAATAGGTGTAATGCCACAAAAAAGACATTGAAAGACTTGTTAAAATATTGATCTTGGAAAGTGTTTCAAAAAGAAAAAACTATATTAGCTTGGCCTAAAAATAAAGTAACGGAGGTACTTTTACGCATGACATTAAAAACAGCCAATTAACAGTAACACTGCGTCACTTTGCCAAATTTCTAAACGTAAAACGCAGGACGATAATAATATTTTACTCACTTCTAATTAGTCATATATAACATACACAAGTTTAACAATATGACATTCTTGATCAGCTAGTAAACAACATTATTACGTTATAAAAAGAAGTATGTTGTAGGTCAAACCACCATGGAGTTAACTACAGATATATATACTGTTGTGGATACCACTAACTGAAACAGTTTTATACCAACATTATTACGTTATAAAAAGAAGTATGTTGTAGGTCAAACCTCCATGGAGTTAACTACAGATATATATACTGTTGTGGATACCACTAACTGAAACAGTTTTATACCAACATTATTACGTTATAAAAAGAAGTATGTTGTAGGTCAAACCACCAAGGAGTTAACTACAGATATATATACTGTTGTGGATACCACTAACTGAAACAGTTTTATACCAACATTATTACGTTATAAAAAGAAGTATGTTGTAGGTCAAACCACCAAGGTCTTAACTACAGATATATATACTGTTGTGGATACCACTAACTGAAACAGTTTTATACCAACATTATTACGTTGTCAAGCAGCATACGCTTCTCAAAATATTACTTTATTATTCGCTAATCCTAAGAAAACTTATTATTATTGTGAAATTTCTGTTTCCGTATAAACAGCTCAGCACTTCTTCGACGATAGTAAAAAATCACTGATTACCAATCATTTATATTCATAGCATAGGTTGAAATTGTTAAATAAATAAATTGAATATTCACTGCGTTCTTTATTAGATACGGCTCTTATGTTATTCTCCCGGTGGAGACTTACAACGTTAAAATCCACCTCGATCCACGCGGCGGACACAGCAGATAACCTAGTGTGGCTTTACTCTAAAATAAACAAATTGTTCTTTAAAAAGAAGAACAAAAAACAATATTATATTAACTTCGTTCGTGTAATTCTGAAGATATCTAACATTTCACAGTAAAACTATGCTTTTATGCGTATTTATTTTACTAATATTCGTCTATATTTTCGAACAAAGGTGTGTAAAGCATGTACTTAGCTTTTAAGGTTCTACAACACTTTCACGTGAATTTTAGGTTGCTATTTGTTTGATCTAGATTCTGGTTGATGTTAAAATTTTTTGCTCTGTTCCTGACGTATAATTGTATTTTTCTTGTAACTTTACCTCGTACGATGGCATTAAAAAATAAATATTTCTCTCGTGCAGTCTGGATTCCTTTCATATAATGGTAAATAGCGTTAAATATAAAATTGTTGACTCGTTTTACCACTGAAAAATAATAATAATAATTTTATGTCAAATTTCTGGAATAAGATTTTTGTTAATTACTTTAACGCTTTCATGAAAAAAAGGCATGTTTTTAGAACATATACGCAATTAGTAAATATAATTTTTGGTAATATTGTTTTGCAAACTAGATCAGGGCCTAATCTCAGCACAAACTGATTCACGGTTCTAGGAACTTGGATACAACTTTCAAAAATCGACTGGCAGCTGACTGTTAAATTACAAGGAGAGAGAGAGGAGAATACTGGTCTTGTATTTTTCAATACTGTGTATTTTTGTTGTTGTTGTTGTTGCTATTGGAATGCACTTTAATGCCACCAGGGTTATTTTCCGTATAAATGAGTTTTATCATGTCAAAGCATTTGTGTTAGAAAATATATATACGATCATGTGTTGATGCCTCAGAGGTATGAGATCACAGAATTCATGTCC